ATATGTGCAAGTCTCTAATAAATCAGACTGGATCAAATGTAAAGTAATAAACAAAGGAGCGTTATTCGACATTACGTTTACTGACGAACTGATGCGTACATATACATAACTATGACATCACAGTTTCTTTTTACAAACACTACCGCCATCTATTGGCAATCTAAGGATACATTAGCGTAAACTTAACACCCCCCCCCCCCCAATTTTACTGAACTTCAAGATTATAAAGTCTTTCAACTGGTCTTCTAACAACACCCTTATCCAACTGAATCTCACAAGATCTAATTCTATCATCTCTTCCATGCAATAAGTCCTTAATCCTACCTATCTTCCAGTTACAGCGTTTCACATTATCTTCTCGTAATAATATATAATTTTAGGTACGCAAATTTTTCAGTTTTTCTCAATCCACTATGATTATGAATTGTATTTTCGAATTGGTTCCAAAAGTCCAACCATTTACACGAATCTCCGTAATAAATTCCGATTTGCAGACGTGGTAACTTCACTGCTTTCGTTTCAACTGGAAGTGTAACATTAGCCGTTTCGTTCTGATGAACTGTTCTAGAAGATTCCAAATTCCTTTTCAAAAATCGTTGCATTCTTCCTCTCCATATAACAGTTTTATCCTGGTATTCTTGACTTAGCATAACTTCATTCTCAATCTCCTCCGAAGTTACTTTTGATCCGATTTCTGAATCTAAACTTTTCAGTTCGTTGATTTTCTCAATCAGCTGTTCATACAAATCCTCGATTATTTCAATTTTCTCATTTATAGGAATATTAACTGCTAAATTCGTTTCGACTTTGGTTATCAGGGTAAAATCCTAGTATACGGTGCAGCCTTGGCGCGATTTTGAAAATTATCGCCAACACCAAAATGACGCGTTTAACTACTCATCGTATATGTCCCGTTTACTGCCCATCATAAAGTCGCCAAAAGTAGCCAAATCCCTTGTGCACCGGATACTAGGATTAAACCGTTATCAGTTTCGTAGTTAATTGTCTTACACCCGATCGTTTCCTTTTCAAATTTTCAAGAACGCCCTCCATTTTCGAAATATTCAGTCCGTCGATTTTCTGGTTCGTAATAATCCCGGTTTGCAGGCATCATAAACAAAATATGTGCAAGTCTCTAATAAATCAGACTGGATCAATTTACATTTGATCACCAAACGTTTCGTTTATTGACGAACACCAAAGACGAACTGATACACACATATACATAATTATGACATCGCAGTTTCTTTTTACAAACACTACCGCCATCTATTGGCAATCTAAGGATACATTAGCGTAAACTTAACACATACTGAATCGGAGAAAGCATACAATTTCACATGATGTTAACTTAAAACTGTATATGCACCTTAAGAAGTATTTGAACCTGCTACTTTGTGTGAGCTTGGTGTGACAGAAATATTTCTGTTTCTGGACGATTTTTGATGTTCGGTGCAACTCCGAAATCAAGTTTATACTGTTAATGACAGTTGCTATAGTAACTAAAGCATTTTTTTTCTAACTCTCTAATTGTAGTCACTAAGTAAGAGAATTAAATACACTGCCTATTGCTAAGGACCATTTCATTGAGGATATAATTATTCCCTCTCGAAGCATTCAAGTGTAAGAAATTATAAGTATTTTGCTTAGTGTCAGACCAAATGCTCCTGACACTATACAGTGTAGAAACTGTATTGCACCAGATGGCGCTGTGTGCGCTTGAATTCTTCGGACTAGTTCAGAACTTTGATGATTGCGAAAGATGTACACCATCGCGAAACATTAACCAAAGTTTATATGTGCTTCTCTTTGTTGTAAATGTATTTAATTGTGTCGTCAATAAAATATTGAGAAAATGATAAAAGGCGAGAATGCGTCTGACAGGTAAGTGAGATTTCTTTATATATTGATTTGAATTGAGTTTTAGCGACAAAGAATGTATATACGTATTTACAAATCTTTTTGGTGCCGATAATCCGAGAGAGACGTTTAGATAAAGTAAATTGCGAATTGAATACTGAAAAACGTATTTAGCGAATTTAATAATTTAAATTGTTATGATGGATATTGAAGCTTTAAAAAAGGTTAGAGCACCTGTCAAACGCGCGGCAACTGACACTATGAAACTGTTAGAAACTGAAATAAACAAACAGGAAAGATCAGTTGATTTAATTAATGAACTTTTAGCGAAACTTTTAGATAAAGAAGCTAATTTAATGTATCTTAACGAGGAAATTCTAAAACTGTGCAAAACGGAAGAAATAGAAAAGGAAATTGAAAAACAGCAAGAATATAAAGATAATATTATTACTTAGAAAGTTCGCGCGAATAGAATCCTTAAAAGGAAAGAAATCGAAGTTGTTCGCGAAACTGAAAGAACGAATGTTGTTGAAACCAGAAGTGAGCAGCAGAATACAGTAAAACTTCCTCGCTTGCAGATACCTCAATACGATGGCAATATATTAAGGTTTAGCGAATTTTATTCTCAGTTTGAAGTAGCTATCCATAAAAATGTGAATCTTAGTAATGTAGAGAAGTTTAGTTATTTAAAATCGTACTTAACAGACGAAGCTGAGGTAGCTCTACGTGGTTTAGCATTAAGTTCTGAAAACTATCAAATTGCCTTGAACATATTAAAAGAACGCTTTGGTCGAAAAGATATTATTATCGATGCGCATATGGCAAGACTTTTAAACTTAAGTCCAGTACGAAAATCATATGACATTGTAGCGTTGCGCAGACTTTACTCAGAATGCGAAACACATATTCGAGGATTAGAAAATAACGGAATTAATCCTAATAGTTACAGTGTCTATTGTATCCAGTGTTGTTAAAATCGATACCCAAAGATTTGTCCTTAGAATTTTCTCGTTAAAACACATTCGGAAGATGAAAACAAAATATCTGATTTATTGGAATTTTTAAAGATTGAAATTCAGTGTCGTGAACGTAACGAGTACTTAAGTAGAGACTTTAATTTAAACACTTCAGATTCGCGATTGGAAACTAAATTTAATCCTTTACAAAAACCTAATCAAAAGTATGGGAGATTTAATAAAACCAAAATTGATTATAGCGGGAAAAATAAATTAAATTCGAACATTCCTACTACTTCTGCATTTATTGTTGATGTAAAAAATTGTATATTTTGTACAAAACCGAAAATAGAGCACGATTCTACCTCTTGTCCCTTATCGGTAGAACAGAGAAAAAATTAATTCTTAGAAAATATGGTATATTTATGCTTGCTTTTCGAAGGGGCACGTATATAAGCAGTGTCAAAAGAAAATCTATTTGTGGAATTTGTAAACGTTTTATGCATCACGAATTGATTTGCGATCAACCCAATGCTTATTCTTCTTCACCCGCTCTGGAGTCTCGTCAAACCGTCGACGCGAATAAATTAAATGTTGTGTCTTCCGTAGCATGTGTGAATGAATCCGATGATTGCGACATACTACTTGAAAATTGCTCGGCAGTATTAATAGGCAGTAATAAAAGCAAAGAGATTAATATTTTGTTAGATAATGCGTCACAGAGATGTTTTTTGAAAAAAAGAAGTAGCCGTAGAAATGAAACTACCCATAATTAGACAAGAAAGTCTAGCTGTTTACACTTTCGGTTCTAGAGTGCCAATACAAAAAACGTATGACGTAGTTCGGACAAGAAAATAACGATTGAAGCACTTTTGACTGACTGTATTTCTGGATCGCAGTTTAAAGTATCACATAACAAATTAATGCAAATACTTTCGAGGAAACATTCAGTTGTCAAACTTAAGTAAATCGTCAGGAAATGAATTGTCTCTGCTTATTGGAGCACAGTATTTTTTGGGATATTCATACGGGAGAAAAACAAACGTGATTAAATAAATCTTTGTATTTGATTGATACTCTGTTGGAAGGGTTGTTCAAGGTCGAATCCCTCCATCAGATTTAAATGCGAATCGGGATATTTCTATTATGAAAATTGAATGTTGCGCCGCATTAAATGAAAAACTAACGCAGTTTTGGCAGTTAGATTCAATGGGGATAAATGATACTCACAGTGGAGATTTTAAATTTAAAGAGGAATTTATTTCTCAATTCGAAAGTAATTTAAAATATGAAAATGGAATGTATACAACTAAATTATTCTGGGACGGTAAACCAGAAAACTTGTCTAACAATTTCGCGGTAGCAAAACGAAGATTTCGTAACTTAAGTGTAAAAATGAAAGAAAATGATTGGGTTTATAATGAATATAAGAATATAGTTAAGGAGCAATTAAAACTGAATATCGTTGAAGAATGTCCTTTCGGCTTAGAAGAGAATTCTTATTATATGCCTCATTCAGCTGTAGTAAGATCGGATAGGGACACTACGAAAGTCAGATTGGTTTTCGATGCATCGTCAAAAGGTAATGGGTGCAAATCTCTTAATGAATGCTTAAATCCTGGGCCACCGTTGAATCCCAGAATTTTGGATGTAATCTTGCGATTTCGCGAATATGAATATGCATTCAGCTGTGATATTCAGGGAGCATTTTTGACCATAGGAATAGCGGAAGAGGATAGAGACTATTTACGTTTTTTCTGGTTTCCAGATGAAAGTGATTCAAAAGCTTACAAAATTTTACGAATGACTCGCGTTCCCTTTGGAGTGACATCAAGCCCATTTATCCTTGCTGCGACTATTAAATACCACATTAGAAAATATAAACTTGAACAAAGCGAAACTTGTGAAATGCTTGACTCGGCACTTTATGTAGATGATCTTTTTTACGGAGCAAATACAATAGAGAAAACTTTAGAACTTTCACAGAGCGCTGTAAAAATTCTTAAAGATGCGAACATGAATTTAAGAAAATTTAATACTAATTCGGATGAGTTGAGAAATTTATGGAGTGAACGAGGTTTGTCTGATGTGACAGAAACTAAAGAACGTCCTTTGAAGGTTTTAGGCATAATATGGAACACCGAAGAAGATACTTTTAAGTTAGATGTAAAACCTCTACTGGACATGACCTGTGATAGGAAGAATTCAAAACGTAGTGTACTTCAGACAGCTTCGAAGTTATTTGATCCTATGGGAATTGCATCACCTTTTATTGTTCTCATAAAATTATTAATGCAAGAAATATGGGAACTTGGTTTAGGATGGGATGATGAGCTATCAACTGACTTGAAGAAAAAATGGGATAATTGGTGCTCTCAGATTTATCTGTTGAAAGATTTGACAATCGAAAGAAAATATTTCTCCATACCATGGAAGTTGGTGAAAGAATTAGAACTACACATATTTTCTGACGCTTCTCCTAAAGCTTTCGGAGCAGTTGCGTACTTCCGTTACGTGTCAAGTGATGATTGTATTTATACAAGTTTTATCACTGCGAAATCTAGAATCGCACCGCTTAAAAGGTTGACATTACCGAGGCTTGAACTTATGGGAGCTGTTATTTCTTCTAGACTTTTCCAATATTTGAAAACAAATTTTAAATTTCCTGTGCCTAGGGTATATATGTGGACAGATTCCTTAATCGCTCTTCATTGGATTAAAGGGAAAGCTTCAAAATGGAAACCTTTTGTATCGAACCGTGTATCCGAAATCCAGTCTAGAACTGATCCTGCTGATTGGAATCACTGTAGTGGGCAGGATAATCCTGCAGATTTCATATCTCGAGGAGCTACCGTGGAAAAGTTTATGTCCAGTTCGATTTGGATGCAAGGTCCAGAATGGCTTCGGTTGAAGAAAAGGGATTGGCCAAAAGGCTCTAATTATGAAATTTGTCTAGAGATTTCTCCAGAAGTATATTGCGAAAAAAGAAGTAAACTGGAAGAAGTATCGTCTTTTGTGTGCGAAGTGCAATCGAATTTGACACGGATTTGACCGTTTGGCTAATGATATACTTAAATTTAAGATGTGGTCTAAGCAAAATTAACGAGGCTGCTGGACAAAAACTGTTCAAAGTGAAGCTTTTGCGGAAGAGCTGTCCTCTTTGAGACAGGGTAAAACAATTTCTAAGACTTCCTCTATTTCTAGAACTGAATCCCTTTCTTAATAATGACGGGATAATGCATGTTGGTGGAAGACTTCAGAAGTCAAGACTTTCTTACCTTCAAAGACACCCAATTATTATGCCCTCAAAACATCACTTTGTGAATTTATTAGTGTGGGATGCACACAGCAAAGTGTTTCACGGTGGAATTTCTGAAACTTTGATAGAAATACGCGAAAGATACTGGATAATTAAAGGAAGACAAACTGTTAAAAATATCTTAAGAAAATGTATTCTGTGTAAACGATTTAATTCTTCTCCTGGTGTGCAAGTTACTGCTCCTTTACCAGTAAATAAATAGAACAGAAGAATTACCTCCTTTTTCTGTAGTAGGTATAGATTTCGGTGGACCACTTTATACCAAAGACAGTGATGAGAAAAAAACTACATCGTGTTGTTTACTTGTGGAGTAACGCGAGCTCTTCATTTAGAGTTTGTTGGTAGCATGACCACAGAAACATTTCTTCTTGCTTTTCGACGATTCATTGCTCGTCGAGGTCTATGTTCTCAAGTTTTGACGGACAATGCCAAAACTTTCAAACGATCAGAACTTGAACTTAAAAATTTGTGGACTGTCATTAGTCATCCAACAGTAAAAGACTTTTACGCCTCCCACAAAATCCAATGGTGCTACATCGCTGAGAAAGCTGCGTGGTGGGGTGGCTTCTATGAAAGACTAATTAAATCTGTAAAACTTGCTTTACGAAAAACTCTAAGAAAAACTACTTTATCTCGAGACGAGTTAGAAACTCTAATTATTGAAATTGAAGGTGTTCTTAACTCTCGTCCTTTAACTTATGTTTATTCTGAATTACAGGAACCTATGCCTCTAACTCCAGCTCATATGCTATTGGGGCGCAGGGTGAATAGTTTGCCTCCTGCCAGGCTTCATTTTGATTCTAATTTAGTTAATAGGAAAATGCTAATTAAAAGATTTAATTATCGAGAAAGATTGGTAAGTATGTTTTGGAATAAATGGAAAAATGAATACTTATTAATGCTGAGATCTGTTCATTGTGTTAAACCTTCAGGTAAAATTACTGAATTTAAAGTTAATGATATTGTATTAATTCATGATGAAAAGCTACCTAGACATTTTTGGAAATTAGGAAGAGTTGTAACAGTATTTCCTGGCAGAGATGGAAAAGTAAGGTCTTGTGAAATTAAAACAGGTACATCAGTTATTAAAAGACCTGTGCAGCTTTTATATAATCTTGAAATAAATGAATAAATTTAATTGTTTATTATATGTTTATTAATCTGTATTATTGTTACAGGACTATTCCATATATGTGATGAAAGTTTTAATGTATGTACAGGTATTGAGTTGCCAGCTTATTATCTTTATTATACTTTATTGCAGGTAACTTTACAAATTGTTTAAAGATGAATGATTTGTTTATATAGTAAATAAGTGTAGTTTCTTTAATATGTGAATTGATTGAACTTTACATTGTAAAAGTTCCTTTGTTAAATTTGTATTAATGTAAGTGTTTGAATGAACCCCTGGTCATTCGGGGGGCAGTCTGTAGAAACTGTATTGCACCAGATGGCGCTGTGTGCGCTTGAATTCTTCGGACTAGTGCAGAACCTTGATGATTGCGAAAGATGTAACACCAACGCGAAACATTAACCAAAGTTTATATGTGCTTCTCTTTGTTGTAAATGTATTTAATTGTGTCGTCAATAAAATATAGAGAAAATGATAAAAGGCGAGAATGCGTCTGACAGGTAAGTGAGATTTCTTTATATATTGATTTGAATTGAGTTTTAGCGACAAAGAATGTATATGCGTATTTACATACAGAAGGCAGCAATGTCTAGACTTTGTTCATGTTATAAAACGCAGTTTGGGTGCCTGTATAAGCAATTTCATTTCTCATTTTCGATTGAATTATGATACTGAGAAATAATGAGAAATTTTTGGTATAAAATAAAATATTTTTGAATAATAATTGATAATTCAAAATTAATTAATTTTTAAATAATGTTTTGACAGTTACTTGACCTATCTTTCATATGCTGGTATTTGAATAGGTAAATGCAATTATTGTCATCCATTAAGGTTCATTTCCTTGTTACGTGTGTCCATTTCTTTTAAATACAACATTTCTTTTACTGCCTGCTGAAATACTGAACGGTATACAATACTGTAATAAAGTTATTGAAATTTAAGTATTCTTTAATCGTAAAATACTAAATTTGAGCTTACATTATTTGCTATATATTAAGATAATTTCATGTATGTTTCTACTTCCATTTTCTTCTAGTACTACGGTCTTTATTCATAAATACTTTATTTGTATTACTTCAATGACGATGTTTCTAATTATATTTTTTTTGGTTTATTATTTGATTGCTTATAAACATTCTATGCTTTTGAAAACGTTCATTAGCAATTTACGATTTTGATGAAGAATTCTAAATAGTTCTGCTGCCTCGAGATCTCTGCTAAATATTGAAATTTAGCTCGCTTTCATTGTACTTATCATTATACGCAGTCTTACTCTTTTATCATCTTAGTAAGCCCTTACGAAATTAAGAACAAACCAAAACTATCCCTCTAACTTTATACCTTTATTGTTTATTTATAAGAGTAAGCACACACTGACACAGGGCTAAGTGATTCGATGTGAATATTTATACACGCTGGGTATTTAAATGTGCATAAAAGCATTTTAAAAGTATCTCCTAAGAATAAATGGAAGCTGGTCTAGGTCTTTTTTTTTTTCTTCGATGTGCAGAAAATTCCCTTTCCAGTTTATCTGCATCGTTATCGTTGTTCTTGTCCTTTGAGTTAGCAGCAGCAGAGTATAGCCAGTAATCCACAAAAGAGTCTGACAAATTGCGTCTAGAAGTAAAAGGAAAAAAGAAAGTTCCAAAATGTGTGGTACGGTCATCAATCACTGATCTCACATTGTCGGAGGATAGAGCATTAGTCGGCACCTTAAGAAATTTACTACAAATAAATAATTCAACTTGCACGCAGCATTCTTTTAAGGATTGAATTCATATTTGGTTAAATGTAACCAAACCACTCCATTAAAAGTGCTTTAGTTTTACCTTTTAATAATTCATAATTTTTAAAGACTTTTTAAGTAGCAGGAAAAACTGAGTCTCGAGTAAACTATGATGTCTTATACGTTTTGCTGAAAGGAAAATTTTCGGATTTAGTGAATCTAGGAAAAATGAAGAGTCGAAAAAATTATATTTGAATTTATATTTTATTCAAAGTGCATGAAAATTAAATCTGGAAATTTAACTGTCTTATTTTATTAGGCAAGTAAGACGATACTATTGTATGCAGTTCTTAACTAAGCGTCAGTTTTTAGTGGTGACTTTCTAAAGATTTAGTGCATTTTAAATAATTTCTTGGTCTTCTTTACGGAAAAGGATCGCACTTTTTCAAAATGGGAAACACATCTGTAAAAATTTTCTCCCACTTTCCCGTATGACTTTACACTAATTGTAAAGCATGTTCAGCTAGCATAATTCACAAGTGCACATTAGTATCGCCACTGGAGGGAGAGCTTTCAAAAATGAACCAATGAGCTTCTATTGCTCTTGTGACGCTGAATCTTTGAAACTGTGTATATGAGCATATTTTGTTGTTTACGTTTTATTTTGCATTTATTCCGCAGTTATAAATATATGGCCTATAAATGCTGCTATCATTTTATTACAAAATCTCATAGTGTTTTCATTTTATAAGTTTCTTTAATAGTCAACATTTCACTTTCATGAAACTTATCATGCACTGATATTGAGATTAACGCTCGTGGAATGTTATCTCTGTTAATATCGAGAAAATTACTCAAGCTACAGTTAGATTCAAATATTATGCATTTAATAACACCTGTGGATTAAAAGAATTCAAGAGTGTATAATTTTTATTGAGCTGAGAATAGCTGGAAGTGTTTACAATGAATCTAGTATTTTCTTATATCAGTGCTTGCATTCCTTTTGATTTTGAAAAAGTAGGTTTCAAAATATGTATTGTGATTGATATGATTATACCTATTTTTATTGTTAACAGTTATATATGAATAAATTAAATGTATTTATTGTGAATAAGATTAATCCATTCTGTTTGAAGAACAGGCAGTACATTTAAAAGTGAACAGTTGTTAATGCGAAAGTTAACGAACTAAATGTGTAAGAATGCAAATCAAGAAAGTTTATTTCGAATAAAACTGTGTATTGGGTATTATTATAGAACATCTTTTTCATATAGACTGCAATAAAAATGCTAAGACTTTTACTATTTACATACATAATTATGCTTATATTTGATATAACTTCGCACTGAAAATTTTGACAAAAAATCCACGATGTTTTAATTATTTTTTTTCAGAAATTGAGTGCGAAAACATTTTCATCCATCTTGCTTAAAGCGCACTAAAGTTCATGTGAAATGACAGAAATATTACTGGAAACCCATTGGTCCATTCTAAAAGCCACCCTCTCAGTGATGATACTGATGCACTTACGAATTATGCGTCCAGCTAGCACTTGGAAGTTCCGAAGATCGAATTCCAGCGTGGGCACTGAATAGTTTTCCAGTTTCCTGCTTCGGAAAACATAATGACCCTACATTTTGAGTTTAATTATTAAAAATTATTTCTAAAATATTAAGTTATAAAATTATCACAAATTTTAATTTACAAAATTGCAGGTTTTCATTTCTGATTATCTTAAGTTATACTTATTCATAAAATCCATATCACTATATTGCAATTTTAGTTTTATTTAACGTTATAATATATATATCGAAAAGAGGAGAAAGCGATATGCATAAAAAATAATTATATTATATATTTCTCTGCTTTGA